GGGTTTGTGGGGTTTTATTAGATTACTATAAATCGGCCAGATAGGAGGAACGCGTTCCGGCCTCAGACTGTGAAGGAGCTTATGCGCGCGTTTAACGATGCAAGAGACGATAGCTCTGTAGGAGTCATTATACTCACCGGCAAGGTAAAGTACTTAGTAGTTGCTAGTTTCCTTCAGAAAGTGCTGTAAAGCAAGGACAATGTAATATAACCATCTCAAAGTTGATTCATTTATGAGCTTTGTGTTGAGTCTCGGAAGTGCCTAGAGCTTACTTTGGAGTTAATGACAAATAGTTCAATAGTATTCCTTTGTTTTGGATGCTTGTTTGTGAAACGATTGTTCTAAATAGTGATATTGATGGTTTTAGGGAACAAAAGCATTTTGCAGTGGTGGTGATCAGGCATTGAGAACACCAGACGGTTATGCTGATCCCAATGATGTTGGCCGTCTTAATGTCCTTGATCTTCAGGTATGTCCTTTATCTATAAGACGATCAAAGTTTGGATTTCCTCACTCTAGTCGGATTCAGTATTTCCCACCTCCCTTCTCCTGTTCATACTCAGGTTCAAATCCGTAGACTGCCAAAACCAGTTATCGCAATGGTAAGGCACCTTAAAAAAATTGCTGGTTTACTCTATGCATAGTTGTACTGATCTCGGATCAAGCAGTTCTTACCTTAGGAGAAAGCATTTCTCATCAGTAATCTGTTTGCTTTTGGACTGACTCAGGTTGCTGGTTATGCTGTTGGAGGAGGACATATCTTGCACATGGTCTGCGATCTTACCATTGCAGCTGATAATGCTATTTTTGGTCAAACGGGTCCTAAGGTTCTCCCTCTAGCCTCTGTTTCAGTCTTGAATGTGTAAGTGAAGTGGGAACCAGAGTTATTACTAAACCTTCAAAAATTTGCAGGTTGGAAGTTTTGATGCTGGTTATGGAAGTTCCATCATGTCTCGTCTGGTAAAAGCTCAATGTAACTGTCTATTTCTGCGTTGAAACATCCAAGATCTAACAAACATGGGCTGGTCAAAACTGTTTGAAAAAAAAAAAAACAGGTCGGTCCGAAAAAGGCAAGAGAAATGTGGTTCATGACGAGATTCTACTCAGCTACTGAAGCAGAAAAAATGGGACTCATCAATACAGTTGTACCGGTAAAGTTAATTAGTAACCTTTAGAATTTATCACGTTATCACAGACTACACTTTCTATCTGGTGTGGGTAATTGTTTTGTGCCTTCATTGAGACATGTTTTCTGTTCCAGCTAGAGGATTTAGAGAAAGAAACAGTGAAATGGTGCAGAGAAATCTTACGAAACAGCCCAACTGCAATCCGTGTGCTTAAGGCAGCACTCAATGCAGTCGATGATGGCCACGCCGGACTTCAGGTCCGCCTTTATTACTAACTTGCTTAGTCCTATTCCGTTTTAAAGGAACATAACTCTATAGTCATAAGTCCCAAACTCATTGTAGTTTTACTTGTGTATATACAGTTTAAAAACTGATTTACGAACCTTTTTGGTGCAGGGGCTAGGAGGCGATGCAACACTCTTATTCTATGGAACCGGAGAAGCTACTGAAGGAAGAACGGCTTATATGCAACGCCGACCACCAGACTTTTCTAAATTTCCTCGGCGACCTTGAACTCTCTCCGTCTCACTACAAGCCCAGTTCAGGTGTTTTCGTGCAACATTTGTCCTCATTTCAATCCAAGTCTATTCTTTTTATTGTTTGTTGGACTTGAAAATTATAAACTATGAAATATGAATTCATAAACCGGGAATTACATTCAACTTATAAACTTAGCATTACCATAAAAGCGAGAAATCCAGAGTTGAAGAGATAACAAAAAGTCTCGCCTTCCCCC